TTCCGACCCTAAATCTATGAAACTATCTATGAAACTATGGTGGTTATTGGGCTGGGAACCAGTTGGCTAGAAGATTGGCTGGCTGAAGGGATAAGGTGAAGGCAGCTGGGGTAAGACCAGGTGAACTAGGATGAACTAGGAACTAGAGACTAACAATCCTCAAGTGAACTAAGATCAGCCAGGAAGAAGCCTCAGAGGCCACATGTTGAGACTCCGATGTGTGTCAGGCTCCTCCACATGTTCCCTTTTGTGGGATTTCCTGCTATGCCTGACTTGAAGCTGGGTTGGGGAGACGAGAGGAGGAAGTATGGTGAGAAGTGACCACCTGACCGGGAGTCTCAAGAGGAGCTCCTAAAAGGCATCCAAAGTCAACCTATAACTGACTTCTGTTGCTTTGTACCTTCTCAAACTCTTGCTGGTTTAGTTTTCCTGTTGCTGTTCCAGCTCTGCCTTCTCATGGGCACTTAGCAGAGCTGCCTGGCAGCCAATTCCTGATATACAGACTGTATTGCAAATGAATATATCTATTTGATCTGGTTCCAAGAGGGGCAGGGCTGCCTTCACCAGTATGAACAGTATGTTCCTAAGTCTCCTGCTTTGTTTCCTCTGTCTTTCCCACTGAGACGAGTACAAAGATGGAATGAAACCTATTGGAGGGAAAGGGTAAAATAACAGATGTGAAGCACACCAGCTTGAGGCTGTGTTTTAGCAAGCCAAAACCATTCTTTGTCCAGTTCTGACGGAGTCCTTCAGAAGATTCTGTACTTATTACCTCCACCACTGTTTCTTAACCCTTTGCTCCAGGCCCTGATAAGGCCATTTTCTTAGAGGGAGTGGGTACAATATTTTTTTCACCAAATGTTATAAAGAAGCTTAATTCAGGGGATATTTGGCAAGTTACCAGAACAAACAGAGGTACAACCCACTCAAATGCAGCCTGTAACTGGTGGCTGCTAATTACCTGTTTCTAAAGGATTCATTCACTTGGCTTGCAACTAACAAATTCAGCAGCAAGAAATGCATCTGCGTAACCCTTTTCTAAGGCAAAGCTGTAATGATGTGGCTGGCTGCCTAGATGGCTGCCACACACAGAGGCAACAGTGATACTGCACCTATGGCACAACCTTGTGGTAGCCACAGCTCTTTCCACCTCCTGCCCTCTTCCTCCCTGGTCCTTCCCCCTCAGTTGGCACCCAGGGCAGCTACCCCAGTTCCTCTGCCCTAGTTATGCCACTGCTTCAAGGCCAGGTTTCTTGCACCCAATTCTGAAAGTAGTCCAATGACACAAACTGACTGGGTGAAAAAGATGGTTTGGGGATAGAGATTGCCTTACTTCTCTTATGGTGTACTGGTGGTAGGAGAAGCAGGAAACTGTAATTCCCTAATCCTAAGAATAGAATGGATCTGAAGGGTGCTTTAAAGAGTGATAATAACATTGCCCTATAGCACTTCAGTACCTAATATTTCTGTTCAAATTCTAGATGTGGATATATCTGAGGGGAGAGAATATTCTGGAGACTTTATGAGTCCTTGGAAAAGCCACTGGGCTGTATTGTTTTTTTGTTTTTTTTTAAGACCTAATTTCACAAAGGCTTGTGAAATGTTGAAGGGTGTGTGCGTGCGCGCCAGGCCATGTAAGTTGTTAAACTTCTGGGATGGAGAGGTAAAGATGGACATGAGGCTGGAACTACAAAGGTGATCCAGTTCCTTCTTCCTATCCAGTCCCTGTTGCTGTGGGGTTCTGAGTGCTTTCCAGAAGTGCACTATACAAAGTGATCAGCATCTGTCATTAATTACAGAAGTAACAAAATTACCTAGTACAAATAGCCGTGCTGTAGCATATCCACTCTAGTCATCCTGTTCCTAATGCCACTTGTGCTGCATC